TGGTGGTGGTGTTGGTGTGTGTTTGTCTTGGGCAGAGGGGAGAATTGAGAGGGTGACTGGGGCGGGCAGTAGGGAGGAAAGCCAGGGGAGTGTGGTATACCACTGCTATATATAAATATAGGACACTCAGGTAAACTTGAATATCGTATAAACTAATGGTTTTTAGTATATGTACGTCCATTGCAAACTTAACTGGGTGTCCTGTATTTTAAATCACTAAATCAGGCAACCTTAGTGTGGCGACCATAGCACATTCAGTAATGGAACCCAAGCAAGGCTGACTTCCAGTTGGGATCCTAAGTTCCTTGCACACTGTTGCTTACTAGTATCAACTCCTTAGTCACAAGCCAATAAAAAATAATCCTGCAAGAAACCAAGGGATTATATGAGAAGACCTCTTAAGTAGCCTGTAAAATCTGAGTTTCTAGATCCCTATAACCACAAAATATATTTGAAAAATATACCTATAGATGACAAGAGAAACCCTCCATCTCCCAGCTCCCCAAATCTCGAATTAGGAGGAGAACCTAGTGCTTACGAGTCTGTGGCTTTTGCCATGGTGTAGCCATACAGGCTGTGGACGTTATAGTGAAGGGCCTGGTGAACTTCGGCATCCATGCAGAGGGTTCTTGCAAAAAGTGAGCGGTTCAGAACTCCTGCGGGGAAATAGCCATCAATGAGCACATCCTTATCAACAGATTCTAACAAAATCACTACTGGATCTTCCCCACCAATCTCCACCTAACAAAACCCTTTCCAGATTTTAAATCCTATCCTAAATGCCACTTCCTATCTGGAGCATATACTCTAAGCCTCTTACTGAGATAAATTATTAAAATGAATTTGCATCCTCTTGAGCTCACAAAGAGTTGTGCTGAGTGGAGGCAACCGAGAAACAAGCTCAGAGCAATGGGAAGTTGATCTGAGATAAAGTATAAATAAAGCTCACACACATAACTACATATATTTAATCAAGGAGAATTGAGTTTGTAAAGAACAGATAGGAGGGAGTGAAAAGAGAAGATATTCACTCTAATATTACAAATATTCACACCTCAGTTACACACTGAAAAAAAAAAAGAGAGAGAGAGAGATATGACATTTGGGTCATTTTATGAATAAGAACTTAGATCCTGCCTTTAAAAATCAGCATTGTTACTACATTTTCAATTTCTTGTACCTAAAATGCTCAACATTTTCTGTCTTGTGGCCCGCACTCTCACTCTTCCCCTTCTTGTAGACCAATACCAAGGGACCATACCTGCCCTCCCTTGCAAAGCCTTGCCTGTTGATAGGACCTCTGTCTGAGGCAGAATTCCAGAAAGTGGTAGAGCCAGGAAAGTCTGAGCTTGAGGTTTCCCCAGCAGCCCAATGGAATCAGGGTTCGAAGGAGGGAATTATGTTTAATTATAAACTGTAAGGACAATTATATTTCTGGCAAGACTCAGTGTGTGGCCTGAGATTCAAAACGGGTTCAATGATAAGAAACCAGAAGAAACACTAAGATCTTCCCATGGGCAAAGGTAATATATCTAAATCTTTTTCATGCTAATGCGTACTTTCTAATCCTGAAAAGATTAAAAGAAGACCAGAGACACAGCAGCTTGTCATATGTAGGCAGACAAAATTCTGGGAAGTAGAGAGTGGGGTGCTTGCCCAAAGAAGACAGAAGGTAATGAGATTTCAGGGTTCTGTAGAAAAATAAACTTAGTTTTGGTTAAGTAGAAGATTAAGAGATAAAAAAGAAAACATGATAAACTGATCCACAGTGAAAAAAACTGGGGGAATACAGAAAGAGCAGGAAAGAATAAAGAATAAGTGGGGAAAATAAACAGTAGATTTTGTAAGACGTCAACTGGTTTGATGTCAAGATTCCTCTTAAAAAGTTTTCCATTCCTTCAGTGACTGAAAGGGGTAAAGAAACAGCTAAACTTTGGTTCAAGGGTACAAGCGAAGTGGAGAAACCAGAAGAAACTGGCAGACACTGGCCAGATGCTCCCCAAGCCTGTGTCTTCTTCCTGGGAGTATAAGATTATATTTCACATTTTTCTCTTGAAAGTTTAGCAGAGACTATGTGATTGGATTCTGGCCAAAGAAATGTGAACAAAATGAACACACCCCACTTCCAGGCCTGTCTATAAAGCTCCCACTACCCTTCTGCTTCTCCTTTACCTGGGAGGCTGGAAACAAAGGGCTCCAAGATAGGAGAACCAGGCAATGGAAGCAACTGGATTCCTGAGTCACTGTGTGGATGAGAGCCACACATCCCACACTAGAGTATTATATGAGCAAAAAATAAACTTTTATTGTGTACTCCACTGAGATGTTGGGGTTCATTTGTTTCCACAAACACTATACTGTTTCTCTCTCTCTCTTTCTCTCTCCCTCTCTCTCTCCTACACACACAGACACAGACATTCTTTCAAAATCAGGGACTAGAAAATTGACCTTGACTGGGAATGGGACTCATAAATAGGAAGGACTAACAGGACCATTGATGCTCTTGGTAATGAGCTAAGCAGGCACACACAGACACACACACAAATTACAGATTCACTCCAATGGGAGGTAGCTTGTACCTCCAGTATTCTGATATCCTCATAAAGCTTAAAACTGAACACGTGTATAAGGTGTTTAGAGGAAGTGAACTGGATGGGAGAATGTAGAACTCGAGAGAGGAGGCACAGCCACGGGATATATGACCTTCACCATGTGCTTGCCCTTGTATTATGGCAGCGAAAAGGTAACTGGAGACCAAACACTACAGTAAGGTCTCCAGGAGAGGTGCGGTCAGGGGCTTGGTGAAGGCCAAGGGAGGGGGTAGTGGGAGGTGGATGGAGGTGGGCAAAGGGTGGGGAAAAGGGGGATACCTGCAATTATGTCAATATTAAAAATTTTTAATAAAAAATAATAAAAACAGCCAAAAACAAAGCAAAGTAAAACAAAAACTGGCAAGTCAAATTGCTCCTGGCCACACTGAATTTCACTGAGGTTGTTTTAAATGCCTCCTGCCTACATACATCATTGCAAACAGTTGAAAACTTACGAGGCGTGAAAGGAGGATAGTTCCAGGTGTTAACTTTACAGACACCAAGAGAACCGTCGAGCAGGTTGGATACTTCCTCCATTTCCTTCAGAGACACAAAGCACACAGGGGGAAAGCGTTACTGATACACAGAGAGTTGTTAAGGAATGCTTACTGAAATGGGAGCTGGGCAGCTGGGGACTCTGGTTAATTGATTTTGGGATCTTGAGTAACCTTCCTAAATTTTCTTGACCTCTGTTTCAGCTTTGGGATTAGATTGTATCCAAGGTACCTTCCAACTCGAAATGCTATCAGGTACATTTAACCTTTTATGCATTGATTTCAATCAGATAATTAAGATATACTATTTCAAAGACTAATTCTTCCCTTATAAGTTATGATTTTATTGTTGCTTCAGTATTGTTTTAAAGAACCTAAGATAGGGTATTATTCTATTTTATAATTTTCCTTCTCTTTTATTCCACTCAGTGTGGGGCATAAGAAGATATTATAATTGAGATCAAATCCATTTCTTCAAAAGAGATTAAAAACAGGTAATGCGTAATCTTGCTAACAAACAGATAATTTTCCAAATCTCGAAGAAATTTCCCCATCTGCTATCCTCTAAAAAGTAGGAGGCCCATTAAATTATTCTCTAGTGATTTACTTTGCATTTTAATAAATCATTGCTACAAATAATAGCACCTGTAGTTTCTAATACAATAGTATTTTTAAGCTAAAAGACAGTTCATGGAGGAAAAAGCTGAGGCCATGAGAAAGCAAAAGGCTTTCTTAAAAAGAAATAACCAGTTGGCAGTCGATTGAGAATTAAAATCCAGGGTTTTGAGGGATCTGATTTATTGCATAAGTTCAACATTAAGTAAAAGAATTTTAAATATCAGTGTGTCAAGTAGACTATTTTATTACAGATTAGAGTCAAAATTCATCTCAAACTTTGAAATATCCATCTCCAAAATAAGTTTGATCTGGAATAACAACTTACCAGCCACACTCCATCAAACTCCAGCATTTTATTAAATTCTTGGAGCTCTTCTGTCCACCACTGAGTACAAACTGGGTTATTAAAGGCAGGAAAGACAGTGCTTCCAGGATATCCCTAAGGAACAAAGAAGGCCGAGACGGTTTGTCTGATGGGCCACCCAGGCATTTATCTCTGGCTACCATCTCTTCTCCCAGAAGCCCCACATAGCTTATCATTTTAGAATCAAACTTTGTGACTCTCCCCCACAAAACTAAATGTTAAAATACGTACAAGGAACCAAAGGGAGAAAAATGAAAAGGAAAAACAACCTATTATAGAAATGAGAAGCCATCAAATGTCTTTTTTCTATGATTAAAAAAAAAAAGAAAAAAAAAGCCGGGCCAGCGTGGCTCAGTGGTTGAGCATCGACCTATGACCCAGGAGATCAAGATTCGATTCCCCGTCAGGGCACATGCCCAGGTTAGGGGCTCGATCCCAGCAGGGGGCGCGCAGGAGGCAGCCGATCAATGACTCTCATCAATGACGTTTCTCTCTCTCCCTTTCTCTCTCTCTCATCATTGATGTTTCTCTCTCTCTCCCTTTCTCTCTCTCTCATCATTGATGTTTCTCCCTCTCGCTCTCCCTTCCTCTCTTTGAAATCAATAAAGATACACATATTTTTTAAAGTAAAAGTTCATTATGTCAGGCCAATTAAGAGAACTGTTTAAAATACTGAAGAGTCTAAGTAGATAATAGTTTAGACGAGAATGATGGAACCTATTTAATGTGTTGTTAATTGAAGGTCTTCTAAAACCCGCTTTGAATAATGCTGTGTATGAATAATACGCTGGTTTGGGCAGAGAAACAATCTTGTTTAAGTGGTTAAATAAATTCTGTACTTCTTACTCAGGTCAAGTATTTCTTATTCTATCTTTTCTTCCTATGTATTCCTATCAAAGATTAGATTTTAACATTTTCCACAAATAGCACAAAGATATAGTCATAGCCAAATTACTGAAAATTCTGAATTGACAAGACATGAGGTTTTGTACATACACTTGTGCTTATTTTCCCAACAAATTTATAGGTTGTCATTTAGTGGAAACTTTAGGCTCAGGCAGAACAGTATCTATCTCTTGGTTCTTTGTTTTAGGTGATGGGGCGCCATACAGTGATCAGAAGTACCTTTGAACCTCAGGAAAAAGGTGGTGTGGCAAAGGAATCAGCTACAGGGACAGTGAACCTAGAGCAGGACCGTCCATTCTCACCGAATCCCTTCATAGCGAACCCACACCGCCTCCAGCACCACTACCTCTGCCAACACCTTAGATCAAATGATTCCTGTCCTTTATTGGTCAATGGAGGTGACTATCTAATTAATTTTTGCGATTATATGCAAATTCCTAATTATATACCACTCACGTATGAGTACTATTGAAATGACTCACAGCTCTGGATAATCTACTTTTCAGATAAACAAAACAATGTTTACATGCCCATGGCCTCTCATTTTGTCCTTGTGTATGAATATCGGTCTGTCTGATATTTTAGAAATTCACAGCAAACGAAAGAGTAAAAGCAAAGAATTGGTTTGCAGAAGGAAGGAAACTTCTCTGTTTCATGAAGAGTTAGAACTAATGAGAAAGAAAGAAAATACAGAGAAGTATTGCAGACAAAGTCAATGATGGGAATTAAGTGAAAAGTTAGGTAAGGTGTTGTTCATAACCTTATAAAGACAAATTTTGCAAAGTTAACTGCCCAGGAGCAGCAGGAAGTGTAGCACGTGAGCTTCTAGATGAAGTCCCAGTGTTAGTAAGTCTCCCACCATCCGGCCATCTAGGGCTGACCACACACATAACTGGGTGAGAAGGTTGACTACATGATTTGGTGGGGAGAGTGATTGGAGAGGGGGACGGAACAGGGGGAACGGGGGGAGAAAAAGGGATATCTGTAGTACTTTAAACAAAAATAAAAATTATTAAAAATAAATTAATTAATTAAATTAAATTAAATACTCTCAAAATCTCAGCTGCCCTGAAAATAGTTTCCTAAGCAGCCTGTTCCAATACCTGAAATTGCTACTTTAAAATAAAGGCTGGGCTCTATCTATAAGTCTCATGTAAGTTAAAAATCTATTAGCTGAGGTAGGTTTCACATTAGCTTATGAACATCTTGCTCCATTATCAGAGTTGGATTTATTGTCTTGGAAAAGAAGTAGAAATTGTGAGGTGGGAAGGGTTTATGAATAAATAAACTTTCTCCTAATGATATATTGCTTCTCAACTATCTGTATTATTAGAGGGCCCAGGCTAGCTTTCTAGAGACTAGATCTTAATTATTTCACCCCAAAAAAGAAAGAAAAATATGTAACATGATAGAGGTGCCGTCGCTATAATGGCAATCATATTGCAATTTACAAATGTATTAAATAAACATGTTGTAGACCTTAAATGTATATAATGTTATATGTCAAATATATTTCAACTAAAAAAATAAATTCTTAAGAATTTTAATCATCCTACTATTGTATCTACCAGTCTAAAAATAATAACAGAAACATCTAAAGCCATGAAAACAGTAATAATACTGCAACTTGCCTTCCACCCCATTGTCATACCAAAAGTACAAACTTCCCCAAATGACTGTAATTTACTCTGATTTTTTTTTTTTTTTTTGAGAAATTACCTGCCCAATGACAAAGCCATTGTCCCCCTCGATCCATATTCTCTTTTTCCTTCCATTCTCATAGGGCCGGTAGTTAGGATCATTTAAGATGCCAGGATTCTAGTAAATAAACAAGATAATAAGTGTTTTTATAAATTTCTTTTGCATTTTTAAAGGGAAAACTAGGCCATAGAATAAGTGTTTGAACATACATACCATAATAATGACATATTTCTGTCCATGTTCGTGTAAGTTCTTGGCAAAGTCTGAGAGACCAGGGAAAGCCTTTTGATCAATAGTGAAGTCCTTCATTCCATCCATGTAGTCTATGTCCGAGTACTGGACATCCTGGAAGACAGTGCTGGCCCGTGAGAACCGAGGCAATACCACCGTGCTGACAGCTCCAGTTCTTCATCGTTAACACTGAAGCCGTATTTCTTTCTTTCTTTTAAATCATTTTCTAACTTTTTTTTAAAAAAAAAAGTTTCTATTGATTTCAGAGAGAGAGGAAGGGCCAGGGATAGAGAGATCGTCACATCCATGAGAGAGAAACATCCATCAGCTGCCTCCTGCATGCCCCCTACTGGGGATGGAGCCCACAACCCAGGCATGTGCCCTGACTGGGAATCGAACCTGTGACCTCTTGGTTCATGGGTTGAGGCTCAACCACTGAGCCATGCTGGCCAGGCTGAAGCCATATTTCTTAATGATCCTGGAATTTTGAGGACTTGGCTACTTCCTAGGAGTAAATAAGCCCTTTCTGAAAGATTCAGGCGCTCTTAGGTTGCAGTATTAGCTCATTGTCTTGATAGATGCCTGTCGCAAGGTACTGGGAGGAACTCGAAGGTGAGGGTATCTTGTTTATCCCTATAATTTGAGTGCTGAGATGCTTGAAATCAAACAGGTACCCTCTAAATGTTTGTTTGAATGATCCCATGAGTGATGTTATAACCACGTACTAACTTGGACCCTAGACAATAAGCTAGCTAGAACATATCACAGGAGGCCATAAAACTTATAAAGCTTCTAGAATAGTAATTAACAAAGATAAACAACAAAGGGACAGAGCTTTAATTAACCAAGGTCTCATACACGCATTAGTTTTGTGTTTGCATACCAGCCTGTGAGGGGCAGATGTTATTCTTAGTGAGAAGATTGAAAAGTACAGGGGTTAGGTGACATTTCCCAAGTTCAAATGCTAAAGTGGGTGAGGGGCTCATCTGGGGCTTTGGCGATAGACCCTTTGACTCTACCTGCTCTTTTGTTCCAATCGGCCACATACTTCAAAGACATAGGAAGGTCTTCTAAGTAATTGTTCGTTGTGTGGTCATGTTTTAGAGGCTCCAACTTACAGACCTGAAGGGGAGTGTGGCTTGTGGCCTGTTGCCAAGGCAGCACCATCTCTTCTAATGCTGAGCAGTCATTTAGGACCCAGGTGTCCTCCACAGCCACGTGGTGGGAAAGATCCAATCCATGGAAGAAAAGCTCACTGGTGTCTGAGTCAGCAAGTCCTCAAAGAGGCCCTTCCCTTCAGAGGCATGTGGGGAGATTGACACCAACACCACGTGTAGCCAAAAGAACTACTTTTGAATCCTGGGTCTGCCATTTAGCTGGCTGGTGACCTCAGGAAGGTTATTAACATTGCAATGTCTGCATTGCCTCACTTGCAAAATACCAATAAGTGAGGGTCAACCATGGATGTGAAAGCACTTTGTGAAATAATGAAGACGTGGCAAGATTTGGTCTGATTGGTGTTTGCAGATAGCAGATATGGGAGAAGTAAAATGAAATACATACCCGTCTCCCCTTCACAACAAAACCACACAGTGAGCAGGTTCTCTCACAAGAAAAATTCATCTCATTGCCTGCCCTCATTGCTACTCTGAGAAGGGACTGCAAACTCCTGAAATCAAAGTCATTTCTACCCATAATATCTTCCTTCAGATATTAACCCAATATATGTATGCATCACAGTCCCAAAGATTGAGCCCAAAATAAATAGTTTTGATAACTTCATTAACCATATGTTATGCATTTCTTGGGGGCAACTTTTCAAATAACATACACTTAATAATTATCTTTTTATTTACATTTCCTAGTGGACATTGGACATCATAACCACAGAGCTTTCAAAATTAGTCTGCTAGATCTGGAAGGAATATACAAGGTCACTATGAGAAACTCACTCACTGTAAGTCATCCTTATAATAATCAGCACATACTAACCATGTCACCCAGGTGTTGCTTTCTCTTATGAAATAGCAACTAACTTTGATGGAGTTCATCTTCTGTGTCACTTGCTTTATTTTACATGCATAGTATAGGGGTTCTTCACAACCAGCCCACCAGAGTAAGTCTTAGATTTTCATTCTATAAAGAAGGAAACTAAGACACAGAGGTGGTAATTAACTAGCTCAACATTGCATAGAGTTAGAAAGAGGACAAGCTAAAATTCAATGTCATATCTTTCTGACTCCATAACTATGTTCTTCCCATGATGACATAAGTAATTTAGTTTGCAAATTTATGATAGTAGGTGTGTCTGTCTATATATCCATCCATCCATCCATCTACCAATCTATCTATCTATATTTTCCCTAATAAATTGAATTGGGTAGAAAAAATGAAAGATAAGAAATGGTATCTTATGCATGATAAGAGAAGTTCCAACTTACATATGGGATCCTAGCTTTACGAGTTCGGTTTACAACCTTTTTCAATCCCTCGATGTTACTATAATTCCTGCGACTAAGCTGGAACCCAAGACTCCAGTAGGAAGGCAAGAATGGTCGTCCAACGAGCTAAAAAAGATAAATAAGTGTCTGAGCATTTCAAATAAGCATTATTTGTAGCCCCATGTCTGACACAGACAACTTTGTCTCCGTTTTATTATCTGTTAAGTCCCCAGATCTAAAGTACCAGAGCCAAGAGTAATCGCCTGGGGTAATTAGCAAAATTCTGCAACTCAAATCTCTCTGCTCCCACAGAGCTTAAGGAAATCAATAAACGGCTAATAGAATGTCAGATAATTGTGTGTGCTAAGGATTAAGAAATAAGGACTGGCAGGACTAAGAGTGGGAATGGGTGAAGAAATACTGGACTGTGTTTAACATCCAAGTCTGCAAGTTATTCAAGCTAACATTCCGAGAAGATCCCAGATAGAGTCCTGTCCTACAGTGTTCCCCAAAAGCCCCAGGGCTTTCTATCGTGCCTCTGAATCCCCATACAGTTGAACCTCATTGATGACATTTGTAATAAGATGTTTCCAATTATAATTATTTTAGGCTGCCATTTTCTCCTATTTGGTTATAAATTTGCTGGCACCTGGGACTATATTTCATACATCGTTCTGTGTCATCTTGAACAAATAAATTTGTTTTTCCATACCTGAGATTTTTCATCTGCCAACTAGGTAGTTTGGCCAAATGATGTCCTACATTTTGAGTGAAAAGTAAATAGCACAATTCCTTGTACAAAGTTTCTTGTCACTGCATTTTTATTTATTCAACGAATAAATGAACTTTGCTGATTTGTGGCCTCAGGCCTTCAGAATGACTGATCATGTGTGGATGGACTGTGAGTTCCTTGCAAACAGCATAGCATCTGGCTTAGTTTTGCATTTCTCAAGCCTTGCACGGTGTCTCTTTTGCACACAGAAAGCACTCAATAAATGTGCATCAGAACAAACATACAATGAATGAAAGACTCACAATCCTAGCATTTATAATCCGTAGTTTACTCATAAATTTTCTTTTTCTCATGCTAATTTATAGAGAATGTATGAGATAATAGCAATAAAGAATGACTATTTAACTACAAAGACATACCTCCAGGTATTCCTGAACCACTTCCTCTGGAGTGTTTCCCAGGAACACATAAAAGTCAAGAATGCCCCCGATGGTGCGGTAAGTGATGGCTGGAGCAGGCTGAAGGGTGACCTCTGAAAGGATTAAAGCAAGAGCCATTAGCCTGGCCGGTGTGGCTCAGCAGTTGAGCATCAACCTATGATCCAGGAGATCGCAGTTTGATTCCTGGTCAGGGCACATGCCCAGGTTGCAGGCTCGGTCCCTAGTGGGGGGTGTGCCGGAGGCAGCCGATCAATGACTCTCATCATTGATGTTTCTCTCTCCCTCTCCCTTCCTCTCTCTGAAATCAATAAAGACATATTAAAAAAAAAAAAAGAGAGAGAGAGAGAGCCATTAGAATTTCATGGTTAAGAAGATAGTCTTCTGCAGAATTTAAATACCTGAGCTACCCCAAACTGTCTCAGTCTCATTTTGAAAGAGATGAAAATCACACCTGTTCCTTTAAATGATTGCTGAAGCTTCTCAAAATATGAAATGAGTACAACACCAATGAGGCCTTAATTGATTTTTTTTTAAGAGAAAGAAGACCAAGTTCTGTTTTAATCTGGCCATATAAAAATACAAATATATGGGATTTGCTAGTGATTTAATTGAAAGAAAAATGTTTAAAGCCTTATCAGATGATTTTACCTACAATTAAAAGTAAAAATAGCCTGGTCAGGCATGGCTCAGTGGTTGAGCATCAACCTAGGATCCAGGAGATTGCGGTTAATTCCTGGTCAGGGCACATGCCCGGGTTGCAGGCTCCATCCTCAGCAGGGGGTGTGCAGGGGGCAGCTGATCAATGACTCATCATTGATGTTTCTATCTCTCCCCCTCTCCCTTCCTCTCTCTGAAATAAATAAAGATATATATATATATATTTTTTTTTTTTTAAAGTAAAAATAAACCCTTATTGGAGTACCATTAGTCCAGAAGCCGAAGGAGGAAGGTTCTGGAATGGGGGAGGGGTGGGCTGTGAGAAACAGCCCACAATCGACAGCATGCTCTACATGTTGAAATCTGCAGGTGTCTTTGGAACGGGTCTATCAGTGAATCCTATAATCTACAAAGTATGGAAAACATGACAAGAAAAGAGACCCCTGAGGCAGTTTTCCATAAAAATAACTTTCAGCATGAACTAGATCTATAGACAGGTTAACCTACTTTCTGTTTCCAGTTTCTGTAGAAGCATAGTAGGTCCAATATGTCTCCTGTTAAACAGCGATCTCACCATGCAAGTCATTTTTATAAAAGCGGCATCCCCAAACATATCCAGTCCAAGGTGAAAAGATGCTTCCTACCCATAGCATTGCTGTTCATCAGAAAGACCCCAAAAGAGGATCCACTGGTATCCTCAAGGCACAAGAAGAATGTGTGGGCTCCATACAGATTAACCATGCCCTGTCAACAAAAATGAAAAGAAATAATAGTATATGTTTAAAATGTTTTTATTCATCCCAAAATACAAGCAAAAGCCACTCACAACATGTACCTGGGAAGGGGAGGGAGGCAAACCGGCTATCATATAGTCATTAAATTATATATTTTTAAAAGTCAAAATTTTAAAAAATGGATATATTAGTATTGTGAGTTTATAAACCTCAAGAACAAGTACTCTCCAACACAAACAGATCTAACTTGGGCAAAATAGTAAATGGATATAAGTCTGTAGGTTACTTGACTCTGTAGTTTACCTCACTCTATGGGTTACTCTCGGAAACGGAGAGAAGGCATTGCTTACTGTGGGCAATCAGGAGAGAGGGCCCCTCACCTTGGTGGGGGTGGCGTCCCGGGCGAAGATGGGCCAGGTCTTCCAGGCCATGTCGTGGCGGTACTGCTGGTGCACGTGCTCTCCCAGCCCGTACACGGTGGCGCTGGGCAGGAGGAAAGATAGCTGCAGGAACTGCTCGGCGAACAGGAGGGGCCCGATGTTCGAGTTCAATCTGGGCCACGGAGTAAGAGCGAGAGTCACCACACCACCCTCTCTCTAGGAACCGGTCTGCTCCTCGCCCTGTACACTCGAGGGCAGTTGTTTCGGGTCTTACCGCCCACTTTCGTGCTTTTGAAGGGGGCCTTTCTAAGGTGTATCTGATTCCTTAATTCTAGAGGAGCACAGCACTGGAGATGCGGTACCAGAAACTCAAACGGGATGACTGCGGGATGAGCAGGGGGGGCCTTACATTGTCTGTGCGCCTACTTCATGTATGCACTACGCTGGGTGCTTTAGAAACGTGACCTCACGCATGTAGCAACAGAAGATGTTGCCCGGCCGGGCGTGGCTCAGCGGTTGAGCATCGACCTAGGATCCAGGCGATGGAGGTTCGATTCCTGGTCGGGCACATGCCCGGGTTGCGGGCTCCCTCCCCAGTTGGGGGCATGCAGGAGGCAGCCTATCAATGACTCTCTCATCATTGATGTTTCTGTCTCTCTTTCCCTCTCCTTTCCTCTCTCTGAAATCAATAAAGATATATATATTTTTAAAAAAACAGTAGATGTTCTGATTCCCTTTCTATGGACAAGGAACCTGAGACTGAGGAGGTGAGGTCCTGGACCTCACATCACACAGCTGGCTGGTGACCCACTAGTACTGAGATTTCAATATAGATTTTACTGACATTAATTCTTTTTTATTTTTAATATATTTTTAATTGATTTTAGAGAGAGGAAGGGAGAGGGAGAGAGACAGAACAACAGTGATGAGACAGTCGTTGATCGGCTGCCTCCTGCACGCCCCCTGCTGGGGATGGAGCCCACAACCCGGGCATGTGCCCTGACCGGGAATCGAACCAGTGACCTACTGGTTTACCGCTCTATGCTCAACAGCTGAGCCACGCTGGCTGGGCTGACATTAACTCTCGTATGTTCTCCAGTACAATTTATGATTTAAGCTCAGGCTGTCATTAGATGCTTGCCAGTAAGTTTGTCAGGAGACCATCATTCAGAATGCTAAACAGTGAAGTTGAGTGCCAATGTGAATGGTAATCCAGAATAATAAAATTCCCTATTTCATAATATCCCTGAACCGCAAGAGTATTTCTATAACTCAGCAAACCAGCACATCACATTTTAGTACTTTTTGGACTGCCATCATATCAGATGAACAGGGTTGATGATTTTTTACTGAAAGCTTTGAGACTTTTCTGAGGTTCAAACATCTTCCCATTTCTACTTAGCTGACCACCCGCCCACGGGGAGTCAGAATGAAAGGCACCGGGGCTGTATATCCAAAGCTACACAAAGAGCGTTGAAAAGCTCACAGGACTTTGTGGTTGCTTGTCCGCATTATTTTGATGCCAAAGGGATTCTCGGTGACCTCGACGTGATAGCTCAAGTTGGCAGTCCGAGCGGTCCCGTTGAACAGCCTCACATGCTCGTGGGGGACCTCATAGCGTGTGTTGTAGAAATCAGTGATCTGTCAGGAGAATCCGAAGGGACAGCTCTAGACCAGACCCCTTCCACGAGCTGCAGGATGTTCTCACCCCTGCCCGGCCCCCGACAAGAAGAGCTTCTCATTCTCCACCCTGGGTTCCCTGATTTGTGGAAGAAACCCCCCAATCGCGTGTCCCACATCAAATAAAAATGAGCCTGCCCACCAAATCCCAGACCCCTGCAGAGAGGAACCGAGGCGCATCCCTCCGCCACGCCCGGCGGCGCAGGAAGGACAGTGACCTGAGCCCAGGGCCCGCCCTGCCTTCTTCAGAGGCCTGTTCAGTAGCCACCAGCTGACCTTAAAGCGAAGACGCCTGGGCGTCTGGTACTCGGCTGCGAAGTGGGCTTCAGTGATGTCATTGCCAAACAGACTCGGGGACGGCAACTTCTGCAACTTGGCAGTGAACCCTGAGGGTGGGGGGACAGAGAGAGAGAATGGGGGGAGGGGAGGTTTAGCCTGTGCTTTGCAGTTAACTTATTAACGTATCTGCTCATAAAGAGCTGTGGCTGTCAGAGTGGAAGGGGTTGGGGGCTGGGTGAAAAAGGTGAAGGGACTAAGGAAAGGAAGAAGAGCCCTCAGCGGCCCAGGCACCCGTGTGGTGANAAACTCCCCTCCTCCTCAGACCACACGAGAAGGCAACTGCAACGGAACATCGCTGCGAAGCGGGCCAGCCAAATGCACCTGGTCTCCAGATCGCAGGAAATGGGAGGGAGAGAGAAAGGCGTTAAATGACATCATGAGGAAACAGTCAGACAAGTCCACAATGCGTTTCATTCTACAAAACAGCTGGCCCGAACTGCCCAAAAGTGAGCTTCATGGAAGAAAAAAAGAAATCGGACAACCGTTCTGATTAAAAGAAACAAAACTGACACAGTAACCAAATGTAATACAGAAACCCAGATTTTACTCTAGATTAAAACAACAACAACAACAAACCACTCTCAGACACTGTTGGGACAACTGGGAAAATTTTAATACATATGGGTATTAGATAATATTATAAAATTATGATTAATTTTCTTAGCTGTGTGGGAGAATGTTCTTAGGAGACAATTCTGAAGTGCACAGGAGAAAGGGTCGTGATGTCCGCAACGTGCTCTCCAGGGCTTCAGGGGAGGCAGATGGCCAGTGAAATATGGAGAGAAAGCGAGCGCCCTAAAGCATGTGAGAAAATGTTTTTTAAAGGTGAAGGGATTAATTTCAAAAACCACAAAAAACTAATAGATACAGACAATAGCATGGCGATGACCAGCGAGAGAGGGGGTGGGGGCAGGTAGAGGAGGGCACGGGGGTAGATGGTGATGGAAGGAGACTTGACTTGGGGTGGCGAACACACGATACAATAGATAGGTGATGTACTGTAGAACTGTGCACCAGAAACCTGTATAATTTTATTAACCAATGTCACCCCAATAAATTCAATAAAAAAGAAGTGCTTTGCATATAACCAGCAATCGTATTGAATTACACACTTATAAAGAGTTGGTGCTGGGGAACACTGCTCACCTGTGCTCTTATTTTCCAGGATGCCTTTGTCCACTTCATAGCCCCAGTTCCGGGGGAAGAAGCAGTTGGGGACACGGGTGTCTGGCCCAGGCTTCCAGCAGCACTTGCGCCTCTGCCTGCACTCCTCCTGTAACAGCGGCGCCGTTAGCATGATAGGAAACGAGGGCAGGAAAGCATCGCATGTCCGTTTGTTTATAACCGTTCCTTCCAAGGAGAATTTAAGAGGGCTCATAATTACTTTCAGTCATTTATTCATTCCTCGTTTGTTGATCCATTTACCCAGCCATCCAGTACGCATTTATTACCTGGCACACAAGGAACTGAGAGGACAGAGAAACAAGATGCAGTTCTTGCCCTGAGCAAACTTACAGTCCAGCAGCAAATCCAGACAATTACGGTACCACGAGCTCAGCGCTCCCGGAGTGCTCCCAGGGCCTGCGGGAAGGGCACCAGGCCTTGCACCCAGCCTAGAAGGCTGCCGGGGGCAGGCGGAGGGCCTCCGGGTAGGCGAGAGGTAAGCTCAGTCCTAACGCACCAGGAGGGGTTAGACGGGCGAACGAATGGAGCCGCGTTCCTAGCAGGCAGCGAGCCATGCATGGGAGCCCAGGGACACCCAAGCTCATTGCGCCGCCAGCCGAGGGAGAGAAATGGGCCGGAGGCACCCGGTGTCCACACCCGGGGTGAGCTGGGTGCAGGCCGAGCAGGTGGACTTTCTCAGGAGGAAGAGGCACGGACATGGCTAAGAGCACGGCATGAAGAGGTGTGTTTCTAAAAGGCAAGGAAAGGAAAGCAAAGGAAAATAGAGAAACTTAAGAGAGAGCTAGGATGGAGGGAGATATGACAAAATTTCCAGTATCGAAATGAATCACACGTGGCTCCTCAGAGTGGCTTGATTATGGATTTTTAAAATTACCCTTATTTGGTGAGATGTATTTTCTAAAGGTCCGACAACTTTCAGACGAACTGACATTAAAAATTGCTTCGTTACAATAAATTTAATAGGTGGCAAACTGAATCAAAGTGTTGAAATAAACACAGGCACCCGCCTCTGCACCCAACTAAATTTACATGAGGTAAATTTGAAATTAAGAAAGTAAATACAAATTCATTATAAAGCAGCAAAATATACAATGTGGCAGACCAGATGTTATGAAATTCCTGAAATATAGAAAATAGATTTTTATCAGCTCTAGAGAAAAATATATTCATAGACTCAAACACAAGAGGAGAAAAAGAAGCGCCCTAAGGCAAGTCCATGTGGAGACTGAGAATGAAATGAGCGCCTGCTCTGTTCCAGGTCGCGACAGGCGCCACCTTGTTTCCACTACTGACTTGAAATGCCACTTGTATAATAAACATATATATATGAATATGCGCTTTGAGACGTTCTGTTATATTGCAGTGGCGTATGTGTTAATTCCTGCTATAAACCCACACTGATAATTACTGTGGTGTGAGGATAGGTTTGGCTTTTAGTTTGGCGGGTCAGTAAATCTAAAGGAGACTCTTCAAAAAGATCAAGGAAATATGAGTATTTCTTATCAAATCCAATTTTGACAAACATGATTAGAAACAAAAATGGAGAATGCCAACAGATACAAATGACTTTTTAATACAAATAGGAATTATGAGATAAGTATTTGTATATACAGGGTGTCCCAAAATAATGTGTGTACACTTTAGCAGCTGATAGCTCAATTTTGAAAATAGAATGTATTTCAATAAACACTACCTTTATAATTATTCAAAGTGTGTGTATACATTTTTTGGGACACCCTATGTATTTGCCAATGAATGTGAAACTGTAATTTGAATCTTTAAATAGTTAACTAATGAAAATTAGGTGATCCTCCTTGAGAGGATCAGTAGCCATGGGAAATTGTAAGAAGTAGTCAAAGATATTTCCCTTAAAAATTGTATCTCACCCAGATGATTTGGGAATATAATATTCTCATATTATACTTCTATATCTTTTCAGGACACAGGAAAAGGTGGAAACTTTCCTAACTCGTTTTATTAAACTAGAATAATTCTGACAAAAAAACTAGACAAGGAAAGTCCAACTAAACAATTAAGTAAAAATATACAGTTAGCCAGCTTCATTTAAAAAACATGATGTATAAAATTTTAATTAAATGTTAGATATGAATTCATTAGTGCATTAAGAAGTTACTGTATACTAGCCAAGTAAGAGGTATCAAGAGAAAGCTGGTGTGATTCAAAAGCAAGAAATCCTTTAATGTAACTGACAACATTAACAAAAGAAAATCGTATGACCACTTCAACAGAAGCAAGCTCTTTTAAAAATATAATAATGTGGTAAAATTAAATGCCCTAAATTTAGAAAGCAAGTTATAAAATAATATACATAAATAATCAAATCTGTGTTAAAACAAAACAACAAAACATAAATATATGTGGAAAATATAAATATATGCAAAAGCATAGAAAGACCAAGAGAAGAATGCACACCGAGCCTTTGATTGATTTGGGGAGGGCATTTGGAGGTAGAGAGGAAGCTGAATGAATGCACAGGACTTTCCCATTTTATTCTGTACATGACTATAATATCTGAATCTTTCCTTTTAAAAGAATGTATGTATACAGATTTTGTGATTTAAAAATACCAAAAGACTATGTTACAACACTACTCATTTGGAAAAGGTACAGCACTGACACCTTATTTTAGATGCTAACATCGACATAATTGCTCTGGGAATCCACAACAGGAATATAAGTGAAATCAATGTTCCATGCCTGTTATAAACAGAGCAATTGCATTATAACTATAAAATCCCCTAAATGTACTCATTTATTCTCCATATAAGTAAATTATATTCCTGCCCCATCCTCTTTAGATAACAAAAGGAAGAAAGTTTGGGGGAGGGGTAACTGGTTTTCCTAAGTCTGAGGCAGACATTAGGTGCTTTTGCTACTTCTGAAACTGAGGCCTGTAAAGTCCAAAGGTTAGTTTCATTGCCATAAATTGTTCCAAAGTCTACAGACCTCTATAAAAATCAGTAAGACAAGAAATCCAGTGCATTTAGGTAAACACAATTCTTTTTGCATGCCCTAACATCCCTATATCAGTTTTAAGCCACTACCAGTAGCCCAGGAACCAAAGGTCAAGCCTTTGACAGATATAGAGGGTGGGGCAGAAGGAGGTTTACAGTCGTGAGGACGTGCAAACACAGCTTATTCTTGTATAGTTATTTATTCATTATTCTGCTATTTTCCATAAGAACAACTGTAAGCCCACTTTTGCCCCCTACTCTGAATATTTTCTTCTTTTTCCATTTTCAATTTCATCACAATAACATACTTGGAAAATATAATGGACTGTATTTATAACAGAAACTGTGCACAGGAAATACCTAGGGAAAAAACTTCATAATGCGTATGTAATAAAATGCTATTAAGAAAAACATCAGAGTTAAAATGGACAGGCTTTCTATGTGTTTAAAATGAGATGATTCAAAATTATTGAGATGTTAATTTTGCCTAATTTTAACCTAAAATTCACTGCAGTGCTTATTAATATCCCAATAGGGTATTATGGAATATAGAATATGAAACAAAGGAATAAAATCTAAGTGTATACAACCTGTATTGTAAAGTTTTTAATCAAAACTAACAGGGTTCAAATAGTTGATATTCTTGTAGAAACTCAAAGAGAGAATCTGTGTTCTTTAGCACGCGTGCGTTGGGATCTCTTGCCAGTCACATGATTCCAGAAGGCTCTGGTTGTAACAGGTCACTGGAGCTAACCAAGGGACTCAGTCATCCACAGGTGCTTGATGGGCTCTGTTCTCAAGGGACACACGGCCCAGCCCCAAAGCAACCTTTGCATGGCTACCCTTGCAATAACCCTCCATGGGAGCCCTCCCTCCGCTCTGGGCCTCAGACCCCACCGGCCAGCACTCTTGTCAGTTCCTCCCCCTCTGCCCTGTCCCCTGTCCTACTTCCCTCACTTCCTCAGTGTTGTTTATTTCAATAAGATGAGAAAGAACTCCCAACAAATCCGAGGCCCATAACCCGCTCCACCACCACCCTCTCCCCACCTCACACACTCATTTCTTTTAAATAAAACCCAGCAGGTCAACAGCAGGGAGCCCATTTCTCTGACCTCTGCCACCACCTGGCCAGGCGCACAGTCTATCCTTTCTGATTCCGGGATCTCTGGGCACTGTGGGATAAACACACCTGCATAGGAATTCAAGAACAAAGTTAAAAATCAGTAGCATAATCAGTGCCAGGAAGGAAGTGGGCAGGGACAGACTTCCAGCCAGTTCTCGGGCCAATGCACACTAGCAGCTGGATCTACATCTGTATACGTTCCCCAAAGGTTAAACACATTTGCTTTCTGTTGGGTTGTTTTTTATTGAGATGCAATTCACGTACCATAAAATTCAGCCTTTTAAAGTGCACAGTTCAATGTTGCTTTTCGGTATTTTACAAAATTGTGCGACCAATCGCTACTACCCAATTCCAGACATTTTCCTCACCCCAAAAGAAATCACATACCAGTCATGCCGTTCCTCTCTTCTCCCAGTGCCTGGGGATCTAATTTCTGTCTCTACAGATTTGCCTATTCAGGATATTTCATATAAAGAAAAAATATGTAACCTTTGGTGTCTGGCTTCTTTCTCTTGGCATAATGCTTTCAAGGCTCATCCACGTTACAGCATAAAACTACTCTTTCTTTTTATGGCTGAATCATATTGATGTACATTTGGGTTGTTTCCAGTTTTTTACTATTATGCAGAATTCTGCTGTGAACATTCACATACACGTTTTTGCGTGGACATGTTTTAAATTCTCTTGGTTATACACCTGGAAATGGAATGGCTAAGTGCTATGGTGAACTCTAATGTCATATCTAAGAAACTGTCGCCTAATGCGAGGTCACCAATATTTATACCTACGTTTTCTTCTTAGAGTTTTATATTTTCGGCTCTTAAATTGTAATCTTTGATCCATTTTGAGTTAATTTTCAAATGATGTCAGGTAGGGATCCAACATCATTTTTTTACATGTGACTATCCAGTTGCTCCACGATTTTTTGTTTGTCTATTTTTTGCTTTTTCCCACTCACTTTCAACAGTCTGTGAGGTAAACTGGGAAGACAGTATCATCCGCGTTTGAAATGAAGACCCTCACTCAACACTGGCTTTTCTAGCCCATCCTCGGTCACCTTTGCGCCCCCCCCCTCCATATTATAACGTCAAAAGTAGGATGGATTCAGCGAGCTCCATACGCATCCAAAGCCCCAGTTCTATCTGAAGTTTGAGGTGCCCTTTAATACCTTCAGTTTTTATTTTTAAAAGACTTCAAAACACCTCTACTACCTTTATGGCTCTACCACTTGTTTGTGTATATATTTAAATTATAAAAATTGTTTTAAAATTATATTAAAGATGTAAACAAAAGACCCCTGCAACTATAAAACTCCTAGGGGAAAAAAAAAAAAAAATGGAGGAAATGCTTCATGAGATTTGTCTTGGCAATTATTTCATGGATATGACACCAAAAATGCAGGCAACAAAAGCAAAAATAGACGGTGGGACTAAATCAAACTAAAAAGCCTTCTGCATACAAAAACAACAAAAATCCAATCAACAGAATGAAAGGGCAGCCTACGGAATGGAAGAAGATGTTTGCAAACCATGCATCTGAAAAGGGGAAATTTCTAAAATCTATAAGGAGCTCCTACAACGCAATAGCAAAAACAAAACCAACAAAAATAAATAACCTGATTTAAAAATGGGTTTAAGACTTGACATTCACCAAAGAAGACATACAAAAGTCCAACAGGTGTGTGAAAAGATGCTTAATGTCGCTAATCATCAGGGAAATTCAAATCCAAGCCACTGTGAGAGGGCAGCTTATCTGTTAGGATGGTTATTACAAAGAAACAAGAATTGGTGAGGATGTGAAGGAACTGGCACCCTGTATACCAATAGTGGAAATGATGCAAATTGGTGCAGCCACCATGGAAGACATTATAGAAGTTCCTCAAAAAATTAAAAATAGAACTACCATACAACCCAGCAATCCTACTTTGGGGTATTTATCCAAAAGAATTGAAATCAAGATCTCAAATAAATATTAGCATTCCCATATCATTGCAGCACTATTCCTAAGAGCCACGATATGAACACATCCCAAATGTCCACTGGTGGATGAATGGGTAAAGAAAGTATGGTACATACATGGAATATTATTGCCATATGAAATGGAATACTCTCCAGCCTTCAGAAAGAAAAAGAATCGGGCATTTGCAACAATTTGGATAAAGCTTGCAGACAGTGTGCTAAGTGAAATAAGCCAGGCACAGGGGACCAACACTGTATGATTCTACCTATGTGATGTATCGAAAATAGTCAAAAGTCACTAAAGCAAAGAATAGAATGATAGTTGCTATGGGCTGGGGGAAGGGGAAATGGGATACTGCTAATTAACATGTATAAAATGTGAGTTATGCAAGATGAATACATTCTACAGATCTGATGTACCTATAGATACAATTGTGCTTATAGATAACAATGCTGTATTAGACACTGAAAAACCTACGAAGAGGGCAAATTTCACATTAAGTGTTCTCACCATGATAGAAAAAAAAAATGAAATGAAAAATCCTTTTCAACTCATGGAAACATCTTCAGAAAACACATCAGGGGAAGTCCACTATGTAAAACATTTAAAATCAGAACTAATCTGCATGAATTAGCATGTAGTTTAGAATGAATGAAAGTGCGAAGATCTAATTTTATTTTAAATGAAAAAAACTCCTTACTCATATACACTGGACAGTAATCTAATGGGACTTGCAACGCAAAAAATGTTTTATAGGGGAAAAGCAGGAAGAAGCCAAAAACAGTTTATATCAATGGTTTTCAAATCATTTTTCAAAGTCAAAATTGTTCCTAGCAAGTGTCTTAATTTACTGTGGAGAGCAGTGAAGAGATTGAGTAGGTAAACTTATATCAGTATAATTTCTTTTTACTGAATGTTTAATCTACATTTATAAAGTAAGTTTTGTCAAGCAGAATGAATCTCAAATTCCACTTTAATTGAGAATAGATTTTGTATGACACTTTTTTTTCCCGTATTTAGAGTAAGTATAATGTGTGCTCGGAGAAGAAGACATTCTGTTTGATGTTTCTGTGTGAGAAGGAGAAAACATTTCAAAGGCATCTATAAAGAAATCATAGCTATTCCGATCAGAATAAGGGCTGGAGGCTGATTGTAACTGACATATGTAGGCCAAGTGTATCAGCCCTCAACTTCCCTGATTTCCTTTTCTGTAAAGTAATGGTATTGGGCACTGCTACCTCATCTGTTCTTTCTCTTTGAAGGCTCTATTATTTCATGCCTCTGGGTTGAAAACCAGGCACTTGATGAGTCTAACCTGCATCTTGTTAAAATTGCTTCAAATGGTACCTGTGAGACCCTGAACATCACTAGCACTCAAGGTTTAGTTGCAGAAAAAGAACACATCTTTTGGAGGTTGACTTAAATTAGGTATGGATGTGAATTATAAATAATGCGATGTGGCACTCCAAGGAGCGAAGGAATAAAATTATTTCTTTGGCATCCGGAAGGGACCTTCTTTACCATCCCTCCAACCCAGCAGCCAAGAGTGGCCCCCGTACCTGAAGGTTCCTCAACCAGCAGAAGCAGCAAGAAGATATCTATGAGCAGTACGGTTAGGAAGCAGGCAATCAGGAAGATTTCCAACACACTGAGCTTCCTCGCCATCTAGATGGATGCAGACAAAAGGATTAGAGCAAACCACAAAGTCCCATCCACCCAAAAGAATCGCTGGGCATCACCATCAGGAGGGAGCTCCTTTACGGGACAGCCCGATTACTGTCACTTCTCCTTACGTGATCCAGAGAACATTTGTTCCCACTCATCACAGTGTCTTCCATCCAACTCTAGTCTGTGCACACAACACCTCTAGGGCTCTTGCCTTTTTGTGCGCAGAGGGGCTGAGTATTGCCCAAGGGAAAAATACATCACACACGAAGAATTAGAGGGAGAGAGGAAGAAGAGGAATGGAGTACAGGAGGCGGAGAGTTGAGGAACTGGGATGGCTCCGAAAGCCCTTTCCGATGCCACTCTGACCTTCACGCCCACCCTGAGCAGTACAGGGCAGGGCGCGCTCAGGGCTGGAAAAGTAGCAACACCTGAACCCAGTCTCCTTTCCCCAATTCCCACGCCACGATGCTGAGGTGTCTAACTGTTAGAGGCCGCTGATCCTTCATTAAATCCTGGTAACAGAAATGACCCTAATCTTGATGGCCAACCTGCTTCCTTGTATGTTCACAACATGGAAACCCATGTAAATGTGGTGGCCCACAGGAGCCCTGAAGATCATGCGTAGACCCAAGCCCTTACATATTGGCTGTGTTGGAGGGAAATCAAAGGACTTCAGTTCTTGTCCTGGTTTTCGTACCCACAGATGGGTATTTTGGCTGTTTGGATGTGCATTTCTTCATCTACAAGGTGAGGTCAGGTTCAGGAGGTATCCTCACTCATCTACGCTAACCATGGTAAATGGCACATGATATATATGCGTCGCGATTCCATGCCATCTTCAACTTCAGTGGCTCCCATCGCCGCTCCATTCCCATCGCCTCTGGCTGGCTGTGCCCTGGGGTTTACCACCCTCCATTCCCTCTGAACTCTTAGCGCCTGTTGCTATTTTTGGCCAGAAGCCCCTGTTTTCCCCTCTCATTGCTTGGGGCCTTAGTCTTCGATCATACCGAGGTTCTCTCCTCTTTCATTTCCTTTCGTCTCTCAGCCCCTCCTGGTGGCTTTTCCCTAAGTCACACAGGCCTCAAGGCCTATTGCTCTCCCTTCCTTGCTCCCTTGCCCGCTACCTAAACCTGCCCAGTGAAACTCTCCATCCAAACATCCGCCTCCTGGGTCATGCCCTTGGCCCGGCGTAGATGCCACTCGGTTTGTCATCTCCCAAATTCTCCGGGCCTGCGAGCTGACTCACAATCCTGCCAGCGCCTCTCATTCTCCACAGCAGAAATTTCAAACATGATCTTTATTTTCAAGCCCCAACCTCTGTCACCTACTCGCTTACCCTCAGCCAGTATCATCTGCAAAGTCACAAACAAAAGAACTGTTTTGCAGAAACGATTTCATCTTCCTGCTTCTCAACCCATACTTTTCTATAAAAATTTTCCGCATCTAGGTCAATTCTTACCTTTTCCCTCTCAATGGAAGAATTTTCCCTCCTCTTGTCTAAGAATAATCCTTGTTATCTATTCTCTAGTACCCACAGCCTTGGGATTTCTCAAAGCTGTGATCCACTTTGTGGCTTTTTAATCAAAGGTCATCATGACACCTCCATGCTTGTTCAATAATATTGTGATAAAAAATTGACAGTGACAGATGATTACTAGAATTAGTGGGGTGATCACATTGTAAGATTTCAAAATGTCAAATCACTATATTCTACACCTGAAACTAACATAACGCATGCAAGACTGTATGCCAACTATACTTAAATAAAAAATAAATTTAAAAAAAATAAAATTATTAGTATTAAAAAAAAATCTTGTCCCACCAATTACCTTTCCTCTTTCTTGCATTACCAAACTCTCCCTCTGAATCCAGGTACCCTAACTTCCTTTCTCTTTCCTGGCTAACTTTCCAGAAAGATAATTCCACACTGTCTGCATTAGCTTCCTCATATGTCACTGGCTTGACTTCTGTTTCTTGCATTCCTCTGAAGCTGCTCTCGCCAAGGTCACCAGCGATTTAGCCGCTGAATACAATGGGCTCTGTATTAATAATCTAGCATATCAACCACACCCTCCTCTATCAAGTTCTCCATCTTTCAATTCCTCCATATCGTTCCATCTCGGTGGTTTTCACCTACTTTTCCTGTACCCCTTCAGTTGGCTTTATAGTCCCCTATCTCATTAAATGTTGATATCTCCTGCATTGTTCTCACAGGTCCACTTCACATTCCCCTTGAGCAACCTTCCCCACTCATATGACTTCATATAACAACCGAGGTCAATCCAACCTGGGTTTCTAGCTCAGAGATTTAGATGCACATGTCCAACTGCTTAAAAGATGTCTCATTTGGATATCCTACAGACTTAACCAAATTCAACCTGTTTAAACATGAAATCATCTCTCTTCCAACACCCCGGTCCCAACACCTGCCAATTTTGCCAAATTGGCTGCTCCTCAAATAATTCATACAGAACAGAAAATCACATTTTCATGTATGTATAGCTTCATTTTTAATTAAGGCAGCCTTTAGGTTAATGTGTGATAGGAACAGAAAATCACAATTTCTTTAAAAACCTAGGTAACTTATATGATTCCTCTCCTTCTGTTCCATCTCACAGCCAGTTGCCAGTGGTCAGACTAATTTCCCAATACCCGTCAGCTCTGTTCCTTCCTCTCCGTCTGTACTGGAAACGCTTCAGCCAGGCCATCCTTTCCGGCCGGATCTGTGACCACTGCTTCCCCACCGCTCCCTGTTTCTACTCTTTCTGTTCCCGGCATCCATTAAACACACTGCAGCTAAATTGATCTTTCAGCAGCACTAACTGGGCCATTTGCTTCTCCTATATTCAAGCCTTTAAAGGTTCTCCAGATAAAATATAAACTCTGTGGCTTTATAATCAAAGGTCATCATGACACCTCCATGCCCAGCTGTCCAGCCTCTTCTCTCTCCTATGTTCCAGCCAAACCAAAGCAACATGTATATAGAGACAAACTACAAATCAATGTGGACAAAAAGTTTCTCTCTCTTGCTTCATTTTTTAATTTCACCTCTCCTTTACATTTACATTTCCCTGCACCCCTGTTCCTGTTCATCTCAAACCCAGCCCAATGCCCTGACCACTTCTACGAGCATTTTCATGTATGTGTAGCTTAGCTTCACTTTTTAATTAAGGCAACCTTTAGGTTAATGTGTGATAAGCCAAGAAAAGAAGCACCTTAATTGTAAAAGGTGATTGAGAAGCAAGAATCCATAAATAATTTGCCAAGGGATGGGGGGAGGGGTAAGGGGAGTTGTGTTAGCTTTGGGGTTTGGGATTGAAGTTGGAATATATTAACTATTCCTTCCTATTAGCCTAAATCTATTAAGTGTCTCTCCTCTAGTCTAAATTATTTAAAGGTTTACTCTAATCCCCATAAGATAGGTATTATATTATTATATTTCCATAAAATTCCTACATAACATTGATCAGAGGGGTGTGAAAGTTGACATTAAGTGGCAACATTTTAAATGGAGCCAGAAAAGCCATCCCAGAGGAACTGCCTTACATATCTTGCCCTTGAACCTTTGAAATGTTTGAACTGGGCAAAATAATCTTTGGGCTGGGTCATAGCCACATTGTTTTACAAACAGCTGTAAGCTAACATGAAGGCAAACGTCTTGACCACAAGGACTGGCTGTTACAGACAGTCTGTAGAATTAATAACCTGCCATGTATAGCTAAAAAGTAACTCAGCTGTTAATGACAATAGAAAGTCCTTCCCTCTATTCATGTAATAATTTCCCTTCTTTTCCCATTGCCTTTACCCTGCAATGGGACACTATTTGAGCTTTTGCCTGAATCTGCTTCTCACTTTGGCTTTTATCTTTAGGGTAACACAGGATCAAGATTTCCATTTTATAAATCAATGCTAAGGAATTTTGTCTAACCACAATTATTAATAGAACCGAGGCCAAAAAACCCCCTGAGTGGCCCTTCTTCTTAAGCTAGTACTTGAATGCTCTCTCCCCAAAGTCACCTAGACTGCAGAGCTTAAAGATCCAGAGGCTGAATCACCAATGGAGGAATTTCAGACAGTGAAAGGAGTCTGACACTTTTCTTTGCAGCCCTTGCAAACCATAAGCAGGCACCCCTTCCACAGCTCCGTATTCCTCCTGGGGAGCAGGTTCAGCACCTGAAGCTCAGGACACTTTGGGGATAATCCCAGGCATTTTCCTGCCATAGGAGCAATTGTCATCCAGGCAGAAGGTAGGAGTGGAGATTCCTGAAGGTAGAAATTCTTCCATACTTAGAAACCCTCCCTGCCCACATCCATTTTTCTGTATCAAACAAATTTTAGAATAATTTAAATCCAGATTATTACTAAAAACCTTAATAACTGTGTAGCTACTTCCTTCTCTGCCTGGAAAGATGCATTTACCTAACTCTCAATCCGTGCCAGAGTAAGCTACCAGGAGGATCCCATCCAGTTATTCCTTCCTTGGTTTCTCCCAGTGAGAGAGAAACATCACACATTAGACCCTCCCCATCTGTCCCCCAAACACACACACACACCACACCCCTCGTCTCCAGGCAGCCCCCGACTCCACGCACTATCTCATCCCCTCTCCTCACAGTCTATGCGAAGAAAAGAAAATATCAGATGACTTAGCAGAGAAGGAACGGACATTCACAAGAAGGGACAGAACTTATTCAAAGCACCACCTGCAGGGGAAAAGGTACTCACCTCATAGCCGTATCTTCTCACCTGCTGTGTCTGTCCCTCAGTGGTTCTTAAGGGGCACTGAGCAAAGGTGACAGGGCCGACACAGCTAGCTGCTGCCAGGATTGATTTATTGCCCCATAAAGCTGATGGCAATTGGAGGAGAGGAATGGATTTTCCTATAGACCATAAATGGCCCTTGCTTTCCCTGTGATACAGTGGAACCTTCATTTGTTAATGAAAGGGGAAGGTGGAGCTTTAATCTAATAGTTCAGCCTCTTCTGTGTTTCTGTTCA